ATTATTGGTAGTAATATTAGTTAGCTATTTTAAAGCTATTTTATCGTACGATAAACAAGTACTTAATGTTAATATTAAAAACCAAAAAGCTACTTTTTAAAAAAAGAAATGTAATTCCTAGAATGTTAAGTTTTAAATGGAAATGAGCAGAATGAATCCTTTTTTTTTTTTTTTTAGGGGAGAGGTTTTTTTTTTTTTTTTTTGTCTTTTCTTTTTTGGTTCTGGGATCGAACCCAGGGCCTCAGGCATGCTAGGCAAGCGCTGTACCACCGAGCTACATCCCAGCCCTTTTTTTTTTTTTTTAAAGTTCTGGTCTCCTATCTCTGCCCCTGCAAAAGCTTAGGAGTAGTACAGACCCAGAAATAATAACACCTCAAGCACCCAGATACCATTCTCCAGGGAAAAAACACCAAGCTTTTTAGAAAAATGACTCAGATTTGGGGCAGGAAATATTCAAGATAAGCATGAGATATTTTTATTATGCCAAAAAATAGCAAAAGTATGAATTTTTCTGAGGTCATTTTAAAGACAACAACAAAAATAGCGTGAGGAGGGTATGGAGAATTAGCTACATGGTAGAGGGCTTGTCTAACATGCATGATGCCCCGGGTTCAATCCCCAGCACTGGAAAAAAAAAAATCAATATGAAGGGATTTTCACTGGCCAAAGATGGGCAAATCTGAGTGTCAGAAAGAATAATTACTACAGTTGATTGAAACAAATTGAATATATAAAAATCTAGGCATTCATTTTGATACCTAAAAGAATTGTGAAAGAGAAGAAATAGAATCCTAATTAGTAAAGCAAGCCGACATACAAATCTTCAGAGTATCAGTGGGAATAACTTGTATGTCCTCCTTACTTTGAAAGGTTGTACTTAGTAAGAAAGAATTTAGCATTCATCATCCTTCTAGTCCTGTCCAGTTTGCATTTTAGAATAACTAAATAGCCCTTGTCGACAAGAGAAAATTCTCTATAGAAGAATTTCGTTTAATAATTGTGTCAGGAATCAGAAAATTAGAAAATCACAGTTTGCAATCGCCAATGAAATCATTGATCCCTGTGTGGCCAGCAGGGATAATCAAACTGTTAGTGCTGTGGTTCTCAAACTGGCCTTTGTGACACCATTTTAAGCATCACCTGGATATTTCTAAAAACAACCCAAGTTCTCAGGCTCTTTCCAACACCTGCTGTATCAAAGCCTTCGAGGCTAGGTTTCTGAGGTCTGTCGTTAACAAGGCCTCTCCAGGTTTAGTGTATGCTGGAGTTTGAGGATCATGATGTGAGCAGAAACACTGATCAGAAGGAAGGATCAGGCTTTCAGCCCGAGAACTTAGTTCTCCTAAAAACAGGAGAACCAGATATTACATTCTTCCCAGTAGATGCACCTATGACAAATTCTTGCCACCTTCAAAAAAATTAAACCTGAATTTATTCTTCATATTTGAGTTTCCTTTATAGGAAATATGGAAGCTTGAAGGATAAGTGAAACAATATCGTGAGGAAGCAAAGGACAAATCCAAAACATAGAAAACCAACCCAGTGTTTTCAAGTCAGCGCCTTGGTGAAAAGAGAGAGCAGACAATTGGGAGACTGTTCCAGAATATTAAAAGGACTCCAAAGACAAGATAAGCAATACAAAACAAACATCCTGTTCAGATCCTGATTCAACTAAGCCAACTGGGGAGATTAAAATTCAGACTGGGTATTAGGCTATATTAAGGAACTGTTAATATTGTGAATTGTTACAGTAGTATTGTATTTATGTAAAAGTCTTCTTGAGAGATGTCTACAAAAATGAAACATCATAAACAACATGATATCAAGATTGACTTTAGGTTAGTATAGCAAAAATGAATCAAAAAGATAAATGAAGCCAAATGTTGGCTAAATGTTGATCCTTTTAGAAGCTTGGGAGTTCTGTCATTATATTTCTCTATTTTTCATGTATGTTTAAAATTTTTATAATAAGTGGTTGGAGGCATGACTCAAGTGGTAGAGTGTTTGCCTAACAAGCTTAAGGCCCTGAGTTCAAATCCCATCCCATCCCATCCCATTAAATAAGTAAATAGTTAGGTAGGTAAATAAATAAAAACCTTTATAGTGGAAAGGAAATTAGAAAGATGTTCACAAAATAATGTACTTATTTGGATGCATTTATTCCTTTGCACTTATTCCTCTATCACATAGGTATATTATTGCCTATTTAATTATCTATGTTAGTATTTCTCAGAACCTTCAGTGTTCAGTTTAAATTGTCTGATCTGTTGCAGACCATAGTTTTTATAAAATACAATAAACATCATTTACCAAAAAATAAAATGGGAGAGTAGGCCATTCAGAATATAACTCTAAGGGTTTGTTACTAAACTCGACATAAATATAAAATTACTTCCCCTTAACAGTCAGGACAATGGGAATATTAATTGTATAAAATAATGAGTTTTATTGTAACATTTAAGAAAATTTTTGAAAAACTATCTACTCACCAAAATAAACACCTAAACAGATACCAAATTGCTATTAAGTTTGTTCTATAATCATAATTAATGTTTTCAGTGTGAAACATGAATGTTCTTGTATGTTAACTTGAGTTGGATTGATAATAGTATTCCTCAAAGAGAATTATGTATACCTCCCCTGATTTTATTTGCGGCCATAGGTTTCTGCCTGAGTTAATGTCTGTTACTAATTTCTCATCAGTTATCATAATATTCAGGGATGCCTACACTGCAGAAATCACAAATAGTGGAGACAATAGATGTTTTGGAAGACTTGCTAAGATTTCCACTTAAAGAATAAATGAGTGTCCCATCTCATTAAATAGGCTATCTCTTAATCTCTGGAATTTGGATGTTGTCATTTTTCTCACACTGTATTGTATTGATATATGATGACTTTGGATTTCCATGGTAATTTTAAGTTGATAGACTATGTGTTTGGTTTTTAGACAGTACCTTTCTTGATGCCAAATTTAAAAGTGTCCCCTCCACTTTCCTCTGGTAATGCCAGTTTGGACTGATAGCTTCAGAAAACAGCTACGGATTCCATTATGCTTCCTAGGATTCATTTTGTTGTCAATAATTTTGGGTCTTTTTCATATATATTAACTTTCACTTGTTCACATTGAATTTGTTAGGTTTCTCCCTGTTGGTAAAGTCTCAAAAATCTTTCCCACTAATCCACATGGACTCAGCATTTTCAGCAGAAAGAAATTAATCAAAAGGCATTACCTCAAAGAAAACATGTTACATTCCTCTCATGTGGCCAGGTCTTTATTATGGATCTCCATGCTTATCCACTATAGAAGTGAGACTCTGGTTTATAGAAGCTTCATTTTCCACTTCACAATTTAGTCACTTTTTTTTTCCCAAAAATTTCCATATTCTTGATTCTTTCTTCTTTAAAACTATGGATGGATACTATAAAGGCTAAAGGTAAGGGGGGGTGCTATGAGCTGACCTCAGTTGCTGCCCATTTTCATTTAAAGCATATCATGTAGAATATGTAGACTAGTTATGCTTGTAAGTCATTCATCACTGCATGCTACATATTTTTATAATATTGTTGATGGAAAAGTTCATGATACCATGAAAGGACCCCAATGGGCAAAGTTTTAAGTACCTATAATGGTTTGTACAGTACTAAGCTTCGTGGGAAGTGCAGAAGAGAATAACATGGTTCCTGTTTTCAGGGACCTTACAAGTATCTTTCATTTTTTAAAACACAGTATGTTAGTAGGGCCATGTATGTGCAGATACGTGCACACATCGAGATATTTTAACATGTGGATAATTACAATGTGATACAGCATGTTAAGTGATAAAGAGTTCAGAGAAGAGACTTGAAGTAATAAGAGGCTAAGAGCAAGGTGGCATTTGAGCATCCGCAAGATGATAAATTATGGTCTCAGCTCAACTAATTCACTTACCAATTGTACATTTTTAGCTAGATTACTTAATCCCTCTGATCCTCAGCTTTCTCATCTATAATATGGGAGTTAGAGTAATCATGATGGAGGCTTTTAGGAATTACTAAATGAGATGCTCAATAAGAGCATGCTTTGAAAACTGAAGTCTCATTCAGATGTTAGAAAATGTGATAGTAAGTGGGAAAGTGGCATGGGCGAAAGACATGGAGTTTAAAAGCCAGTAAACCACGTCCATTCAAGCAGAAAATGATGTGGCTGATTCTGACTCACTCATGTAATTCCTCATTTAGGAACATTATCCTAAATAGAAGTCTTTTAAGATTTATGTTGATTTTACTCCTACTTAAAAGATAATTTCAGAAGGCTTTTAGATCTTCAGGTGACGCTTGATGAGTGGTAATGTTGAGTTATATTCATGTATGTGGAATTAATTTTCAAGTAAATTGCTTTAATAAAGATTATTAATGTATGATGTAAAATAGTTAAGGTATCCTGCAAAATGTATTTGTCTTATGGTCGTTTGTCATGGCTATGGTTTAGAAAACAAGTCTGTGTGTTCTTGGGTACATTAGAACTGTCCTTTGACCAGAACAGGATATGAATTATTTAAGCTTCTTCCAGGTACCAGCATAACTCATGTCACAGTTGGTTTGTGTAATAGTTGCACAAAAACATTAAGGCAAAATGCTCCTTATCTGATGAAATGTCAAAGAATTCATTCACATTCTTTGTCTTACATAAATTTTATGTGTTAAATGTGGTTAGAAGAAATAATAAATTTTCAACCAAAAAACCCAGAATATCTAGGTTTAAAAATCATTTTGAGTTGTGCTATGATTACTGTGCCACTTAGTGTTATCTGACTTGGGCTGTCATTGTTTATCTGGACTCCAATAAAATATGACTGGAATTACTTCTCCAAAGGCAATAAACTTGGAAAACAGCATGTTATTTGAACACTAATTGTTTATGAAAAAAACTTTTTGAGGCCCCCCCAAAAAATCCTGAATGCTAATACTGGGGTTATTTTATTTTGATGAATACTTCTGATTTCTCTCTTCTTTGACAGACTATCTTGCTAATCATGGCCGGTTAAATGAGTCTGAAGCCAGGCGAAAATTCTGGCAAATCCTATCTGCTGTTGATTACTGTCACGGCCGGAAGATTGTGCACCGTGACCTCAAGGCTGAAAATCTCCTGCTGGATAACAACATGAATATCAAAATAGCAGGTAACTGGGACACAGCTGGCTCTAAAATGATGAGATGTAAGGCATTGCCCTGGGTGTACAGAAACAGCCCTGCAGGTGTGGAGACAGCTGACTTTCTCAAAGATTCTTTATCTGTTTCCTTACTGCTATGTGTGATTACAAGGCAGGGAAATATGCTCATTATTAATATACACACCTGCAGGGCTCCACCTGAGATCCGATTTGTGTCCAGGTCCATTGGTAGGGCTCTGTGGAGAAGAGCATTCGAGTGTGAGAGTGATTAGAGAGACAATAGGGGCAGAGGAGAATGCAGGTTGCTGGTGTTCTAACCTGCTCTTCTCATTATGGCTGCTGGCTATAGTGAAGGTACAGAGAAAAGACAAAGGAAGTGACAGAAGCACATGAGTGATTTGAGACACAAATGTACCTTGCCTTGCTTTAATATGATAGAATTTTAATTTATAGCATGAAAACTAAGGCTAGAGATCATTTTGCTTGTTTTCCTCCCAGACCTTGCACAGTGTAAAAGTTTTTATGAGTTTCTAGGTGAGTTTTCCTTTTTTTGGTGGAGAGTGGAGAGATTTGAACTGAGAGCATCATGCTTACTAGGCAGGCAGTAGACTGCTTGAGCCACATCTCCAGCCCGAGTTTCTTTATTCACATAATCAAAACTCATTCACGCAGTAAATTATTTTACTTGTCAGGCACTGTGCTATGCCAAATACTGTATGATATATGGAAATCATTTCACAGAGTGTGTATATATGTGTGTGTGTGTATATATATATATATGCACACACTCAAAACATTACATTGTACAACTTGAATATATGCAATTTTTATTTGTCAGTTATACCTTAATAAAGCTGAAAAATATAATACAATAGTTGTCACCACACAGGTACGTTCAGAAACTGGGGGGTGTAGCTCCATGGTAGAGGACTTGCCTAATGTGTGCAAGGCCCTGGATTTGGTTCTCCAGCACTTTAAAAGTGGGGGAGAATGTGTACAAACTACATAGGAGTATAAGTAAGAGAACATCCGGCTAGCTGAGGAGTCAGGCAAGCTTCACAGAGGAGGAACTATTTGAACTTAGAGGCTTGCCAAGAATTTAAACAGAAGCAGGATGTTGCAGGTAGGTAGATGGAGATAGGAATGGTGAGAATTATAGCTCAGTATTGGTTAAATGTAAAACTCTATATGCATGAGCAGTGATAGAGGATGAGCAGGTAAAGACCAGAATATGAAGGGCCTTGAATGCCATGTAAACAATTGTCATGTTTATCCTGTAGGCAATAAAATCTAGCCTATTGAAAGTTTTAAGGCGTGCATATGGGTAGAGTAGAATTGGGCTACATGATTAGCTTTGCATGTTAGCAGTGTGTCTCTGGCAGCAGCATTAAGATGTGTGGGAGCTGTGAGTAGGACCAAAGACAGGAAGATTTATGAGGGATCCCATGCAGCAGTGTAGCAAACAATATATGGTCTGAACAGAGCAGCAATAGTAGAGGTTGAAGTTGTGGGAGAAAGGGAAGTTTACTTTGGTTAGGGTTTTAGAAAATAAGATCATGGGTTAAAAACATAGCATAGTTACAAGTGGTGGTGTTTGTTCTAGAATTGTTAGAGAGGTGCAGGAAGATAACCAGCTGAAAGGACCTGGGCAAAAACGATTGGTACATTAGCTAGGTTGGATATTCACTGGACTCAATAAGTCTGCAGAGAAAAGCAGCTGTTATGTTTTGCTATATTTAAATACATACATAGAAGTAGATAGATAGATAGATAGATGGATAGATAAATAGATAGATAAATGTGAATTGATTGTCATTCTTGTTGTGAAAATGCAATTCACTGTAACAAAAGTTCAGAATGTTTTCCAGTTTTTCTTTTCTTTTTTTTTTTTTCTATTTTGTGGAAAACAGGTCTGGCAGAGTGGCTAGGTAGAGAGCCTTGCCTAGCAAGTGTGAGTCCCTGTGTTCAAACCCCAGTACCATCAAAAACCCAAAAATAGACCATCAGGGGAATGTAAACCCAAGCCATCTGATATACCACTTCAAACTTGTTAGGATGGCAATACTAAAAGGGACAGATAACAAGTGTCAGCACTGATGTGATAGAAAATCCCTACTGTGTGTGTAGAAAATCCCTACTATACAGTCTAGGAGTTCTTTTAAATATCTGTTTACTTCTTCCATTAATGCTTTTTTTTTCCCCCTTCATCATCATCTTTTGGCTTTCCATTTGGTCTCATTCATTTTACTTGTTTTTGCCAACCTCCTTTAATGCACTTCACTGGAATTTTTAAATTTTCTTCTTAAAATCACCAACTGCCCTAATATTACCATTTTCAGGCAAGGTACCATTTTTTTGTGTTTGTTTAAGTCCCGTCTCTATAACAACAAGGGAGAAACTCCTGCTGCACTTTTATGTTCCTTTACTATCAAAACAAAAAGCCACCAAAAAAGTAGCTCAAAAGAGTTTTTTGAGAGTCTTGTTGGGCAGAGAAAGATTAGGAATCATATGCCATAGGAATTAGGAAGTACTCTGTCACTGGCATTTCAAAAAATATCAAAGCAAGACACTAAAGAAACTTGTGAACACAAAATATATAACATTGCTTTAAGGTTATAACCATGCCTTACCTGTCCATGTCTATTATAATTCTGCCTAAAATGCAGATATGTCAGTGCAGTGTGGCTAATGTTATTATGCAAAATTAAAATTTTTGTTTTGTTGGGCTTTACTGTTTTTATTTTTGCTTTTGAATACCTAAATAAGACCTTCTAATTGTATAGAAGACAAGTAAAATGTCAGATACTTAAAAGTTGTTTCCTTTGGCTAAGATAGTGTGACAATTAACATTTAATTGAGCCCTCACTGTTTTCAGGCACTCTGCTAGGTACTTCTGTCATTCATCTTGGGAGCTACATACCTGTTGACAGCTTTTAGACAAGAAAACTGAAACACAAAGCGATTAAACAACTTACTAATGTGACACAGATAATAGGTAGCAGACCTACAATCCAAACCCAGGTCTGTCTGGCCAGTGTTGTAGTTGCAAAGCATTGTGTGTCAGCTATTCCTCAAGAGGGTCTCACTATGTGAATTTGAGGTTCCATCATTCTGTATTTGTTTAGTATCCTTGCTTCTGTTCCTCACAAGTGGAAACAAAACAGGCGCACACACAATATGTCTAAGCACTCAAATATAATCATGCTCACGTTTTTTTCTCTGTCAACCCTAAATTTTGGTAAATGTTTTTTAAACATTTATTATGCCCTGGGCTATGTCCTAGAGACACCCACCTCAAGACAAAAACAATAGCAATGAGAAAAAGCTTAACTCTGCTCTCACTGTAAGGAGTTAATCAAAGTAAAGAGACAGACCTTTAAGTAAATATAACACAAAACGATCATTGTTTTCAAGGTCATGAGGCTAGGAGAAAGACTAACTCTTGAGTGGATGAATCAAGGAAATTATTAGCTAAGACTTGATTAACAAGAATGTATTTGGGGTGGGGCAGGCACAGAAAGGGAGGAGAGAGAGGTAGGTGTCAGGGTCCGGTTGGTTGCTTCAAGCATATGGGCAGAGGCAGAGAGGCCAGAGAGAACTTGGAAGTGTTTAGGGAAGCTCCAGGCCTGAGCTAGTAGATTTCCTAGAGTGCCAGTGAGGAAAAGAGCCTAGAAAGGTAGGCAGGGGTCAGACAGTGAAGGATTCCATGTGTTGTAAAAAGTTGATATGTGTTCTTTCAAGAATTTCTCTAGAACTTTTGTTTTTTATTGATAGATCTTACAACTTTCTGAAGGCCCTGCTTATCTTTAAGAGCATTATCTTCTGATCTCTGAGAATTCTTAACTTTTAAAGAAATCTAACATTGAAAAGAAATTGCAACAACCCAGGATAAAATACAAAGTTATTGACTCAAATTATACTTTGCTCCTATTTCTTTTACTTATGAAGATCTCTTTAGTTACTAGGTAAGGTGTATAAATGAGCTGTTTTAACATCCTAGTATGTCGAAATTGGAAAGAAGCACAAAACAAAGCTAGGTTTAAATTAAAATGTTTGTCTATATTTAGAAGACAGAAAATGGAGTAGAAATATCAGGCATGGTTCATTCTAGTAAATACAGACACATAGCTTTGCGATCAGCTTCTAGTTTATGCTCCCTGCTGTGAGTAATGACTTTAGATGCCAAAGAGCCACAGACTCTAGCACACTTTTGTGTGCACATTGCCTTAATCATGAGCCTCCAGCCTTTGTAAAATATGAGCAGCAGGACATTCAGAGTAAGAGGCTGACTGCAAAGCAGTATTGGCTTTGAGCAGTTTTAGTAATTGCAGTACTATTGTGTCATAGGTATTTTTGGCTTACGGATACTCAGGCATTAAGTTGAAGAACATTTAGTTGTATTCTCCACTTTTCCCAACCTGAAATTCTTATAATAAATAATTAGATAAGGATTAAAATGTGTGAATTATTTGGAGGAAGTTTTCAGAAAATAATCACAGTTCAAGCAGGGCTTCATGTAGAGTGCTCAGTTTAAGAAGAGAGTTTTAGTGCAAATGCTAGTTGTGCCATTCATAGCTGTGATCTTGGGCTGATAATTTAACCTGTCTGGATCAGGGTTTCTGTATCTATTGGATGGAGACCAAGCTGTCTTTCAGGGACATTATAGAGATTAGTGATGACTAGAGAGGAGAGGCAACACAGGGTACCAGGTAAGAGTGTGGGCTCTAGATGGCAGGCTACCCAGGTTTGAATCCTGGCACAGCCACTTACTAGCTTGGATACATTTTCTAACTTTTCTGTTCTGTTTCCTTATCTGTAAAGGGAGAATGACACAAGTTCATATCTCACAGTAGCTATTACTTGAATTAATATTTGCCTTGTACTTCTAACAGTGCCTGGTACATAGTGCTAGTGAAGTGTTTGTAAAATAAATTGTTAATTAAAGCTCCTGGCACCATATAAACACTCAAGAAAAAGTGGCTATTATTTGTATTAAATGTATAACCGAT